TTAAAACAAATTATAAATTCTAAATTTAAAATTAACATAAAATTAGATTATAATATAACTTATTAATCAGACACATTTACTTAATACAATAAACTAATTATAATAATTGTAGAAAGAGCGTCAATGCTAATTTGTTTTATATAGTGTACAGTATCTCTCAACAAAATAATTTACATTAATGGTCATTTGGACTGGATTATTTTATGTAAATAAAGCAAAATCCTGTTTAATAAACAATGAATGTATTAATTATTTACTTTGATATATCTATCAAACAAAAATTTTAAATATGCAATTAAGCTATTTAATATTTATCAAGGAAATATTCAGCCTAAATTCTTTAAGCTTAATATAAAAAGGCATAAAATGTGTTTGAAAATTGTTCACATAAACCAAGATTATTGAGAAAATCATTAGAAATAGTAAAGTAATAATTTGCTATTGACATTTGTATTCCCTTTTCAAAGTTTTAGAAAAAGTCTTTGAATTTATATATTTTTAGAAATGACTGAAACCAAAGTGAACGAGGCAATATGTGAAACTGAGCAGGTTCATCATGTGAAGACCCCGTATAAACGAGAGCTGGTGTGGCGTAACATAATACTGATGGCTATATTGCATTTGTCAGCTCTGTATGGCTTTTATTTAGCCATAACTGCGGTTCAGTTTAAGACAATTATATTCTTCAATTTTATTGCTTTCTTTTCATCGTTTGGTATTCAGGTATTCAATACTATTCGCTAATATATTAAACATTTAATTTATTTTTATACACTATTGACACCAGTGTGGAGCTCATAGACTATGGTGTCACCGGACATTCAAAGCCAAACTCCCCCTTCAGGTCATACTAATGGTGTTGCAAACAATGGCCCTCCAGAACGACATATTTGAATGGAGTCGCGACCATCGCCTGCACCACAAGTACTCGGACACCGACGCTGACCCACACAACTCCAGTCGGGGTTTCTTTTTCTCACACGTCGGTTGGCTTTTATGCAGAAAACATCCCGACGTTAAGGAAAAGGGAAAGACTATGGATATGTCAGACCTGGTTAACGACCCACTGGTCAAGTTTCAAAGAGCTTTTTATATACCGCTGGTTATATTAATATGGGGAGCGGTTCCCACGTATATACCCTATTATCTATGGGGTGAGTCCCTTTGGAATGCCTGGTTTGTCTGTGTTATGCTCCGGTACGCCTCAGTACTCAATTTAACTTGGTGTGTTAATAGTGCTGCTCATATGTATGGAATGAAGGTAACAAGCTTAGTTTGCGTAAAATGTCAATAAATTTTGAGTTTATTATATGAAATGTTTGAATAGCCATACGACGGTAGTATAGAACCGGTTGAGGCGGATATGAGACACTATTTAGTAGGCGAAGGCTTTCATAATTATCACCATACATTCCCCTGGTAATAGACCTTCATATACTTATAATGTGTATTTGTAATGAATGTCTGGGTTTAGGGATTACTCGGCCTCTGAGTTGGGTTG